AAATGACCGGCTTGAGGTGCTTGATATTTTTCTACTAAGGGTTAAGATATGTTAGCTTAGTAAAATATGTAGCAAATAAGCAAAAACCAAAATTTTGGTTTTTGGAACTTTTCTCGATAGCCAAGTGTTATTGGAACTTGAAACTTGGCTGCCTAGATGAAGAAAGTGAGCTCAACAACTTTACTTAAGAGTACAAGTAAGGTTTATTTAGTAAAATTATGAAAAATAATTAAATGTTTTTTAGCAAAATTTGGTATAAGTGATCTATGAAAAGAGTTACAGAATTGGTCGAAAAATATTTATTTTATTAGTTTTAATTATTTATTTAATAAGTTAATATTTATTTTATTAGTATATATATATATATTTAATATTAAAGATAAGTAGTAAATCTCTCTAAAAAAAAACTCTTTTTTGAAAATCTTAATTTTATAGCAAAATTAGGAAAATAAAAAAATTTTTTAAAAAAGCTAAACTAAAACATATCTTAACTAATTAAATAAATACTAGCATTAACAAACTGCATAGCATAAATCTTAACAGAATTAAACAAAGTCACAAGAAAGTTTTTTGTACTTTAGTCTCCTTCTTATCATTGTTGCTGACTAAGTCAACAACTGGAACCAATATTAGCAAAGATAACAATAAGTTCCAAGATAAATATTTAAAACAGTATACACAAATATTATTTATTTAAGAAACTATAGATAAACAAAATAACAAGAAGAAGTGCAAAACTAATAGCAAAATTGCTATTCTATATCAGTAAGCAATAGAAAAAATACTAATGAAAAAAATTTAAAAAAAATAAAGATTCTAGCATATCCCTAAAAAATCTAGCAATAACATTATTACACTCAACAACAACAACTATAATCTTAAATCTTCTTATAAACAACCAAACTAAGCAAAACCTGATCCAAAACCTAAACAATACAGATGCTGCTTCTCTTTTGCCAATGCAGATAGAAAAAACAAACAACTCATCCCTATTCAACCAAATGCCCTAGTCCAATCTGGATGTTAGCATCTTAGAACAACAACCCAATATAAAAATAGAGTACATATCAACAAATATAGATGATAACAACAATAAAGAAACCCAATCAACTGATACAATATTTAAAAAACAGCCACAAAAAAAAAATATCATACAGCCAAGCATTAGTTAAAAACCTTTTAGAAAGAACTAGAAGAACTTCAAACCTTTACTTCAAAACTGATAAAAAAAAAAATGAAAAAAACTTATACAGGCAGTCTTAAAAAAAATTAGACAAAAAAAACTAGAATCATTTAATAAAACAATTTGAACATGACAAAAAACCAAGAATGCACTGACTTTACTTCAAAACTTAAAAGAACTGATTAAATACAAATTGTTAACAAAACCAATTACTGTATTTTTGTATAATAATGCTCATGAGCATTATTTAGAAAATCAGATCACCTAAAAATTTTATATATAATCTCGAAATAATGCCCATGCGTGTCTCAAAATAATGCGTACCCCTTATATGAATATCAATATTCTGATTAGGATTTTATCCGTATACAGTATAACAATAATACTATGGCAGACCCTTAGAAATAAAGATTTAGGTATCCCTAAGATTTACTCTATCTTCTATATGTTAAGGTTCGTAATTGCAAAGTGTAACTGATCTGTTTAAGCAAAAAGCCTGAAAGAGTAATTACTTTATAATACTATTGCATTAAAATAGATTGCAAACATATGAAGTAGGGTTGTTAATGGAGTACTCCAGACTATAATAAAACATATCCCACTCCAGAGCACTTCAGGAAAGATTATATGTTGTTATAATCTAAAGTACTCTATTAACAACCCTGATATAAAGCTTTATTTGTTATGAAGAAACCATTTGGTAAGTAATCTTACAAATCTTGAAATAAGTCAGAAATTAGTTTTTAGCATTGTTCAAAAATGCAATAAGCTTATATGATTACTTTTTTATGCAAATAAATAGGTTCTATATAATTCGTTTATAGTCTTCTAAGATAGCTTACTACGTATATATTGTGACTTTATTTTTTGATGAAAGGATTATAATTTTACAATATATAGTGAAAGATGTGTATGATAATTAAATTAAATTATTCAATTTATTTCTGATATTAAACAAATAAATGCTGTCATGTATTATATCTAATGTATAAGCCTAAGTTTGGGGTTTTTGGAATACATAATTTATAATATATCTTTTTAATCAATACCTTTTCGACTCAATTTTTTTTGGCAAATATGATATACCTTATAGTACATTTATTCTTTCCTACCTGTATTTGCTGGCAAAACCCAGACAAAACCCAAATCCAAAAATACAATTGCTAAATAATTTTGATATTTTGCAAATATATTATACATTGCTATGAAAATATATATCATCAATTTAAAAAAGATTATTAATAAAGTTTTTGAGATATTAGGTTGGCCAGAGTTTTGAATTTGGGTGTGGACGAACCAAACTATAATAGTTTGGGATTTGGGCAGCAAGTATATTTCTATTTCAATTTTACTGCTGATAGATTTAGTTTGTTGGAAAAATTATCCTGTGAATTTTAATATAAAACACTTATACTATTAGGATGATTTTTGAATTTAGAAATTTCAGATAAATAATTTAAGTTATATTGTTAAAACGTTAAAATATTAGAATATAATAACATACCTTTATCTATTAGAATATCAAATGATTCTTCATATTCTTTCATCATACCCTATAAAGTCTGCAAGTGATTTTTCATATTTTTTCATCATATATGAATTATTTATGTTCAAAAATAATAAGGTATAAAAAAAAAACACCAATAAGTAGTTACAGTATTATTTGAAAAAATTTATTCATTCATTGATCAGTTATTATTATTAATCAATTTTGATTGCCTGCATTTCTTCATAACTATTTATATCTATAATATCATAAACATCTATATTCATAATATCATAGCCATCTACGTTCATAATATTTTTGTCCAAATATTTCAATTCTCTATTATTCGGCTCATCATCCATTTCACCACCATCTGGTTCATCATCCATTTCATCACCATCCAGCTCATCATTATATGGCTCATCATTATCAAGCTTACTATTATCTAGAGCTGAAAATTTTTTTTTTTTTTTTTTTTTTTTTTAAAGTGATCTCTTTGGACTTTTTGACTTTTATTAATCACTTATCGGTATTGTGATTCAATGAACCACTACAGGAGAGCGTACAATTGGCTATACATGTAACTTTTCTATATTACCTATTTAAGGAGTCCACTCGAAGGTTCCCCACCAATTGCCATACCTAACACCCCTGCTTGGGTATTCTAATTTAAACTCTTTAAACCTGTAATCTGTGTTAACATCACTGGTTATCTCTGATATACCAGATCATTATCCTTAACCTTAGGACTAATTTATCCTTGAGGTAAACCCCCCAGAGCCTTCTGTACCCATTTTTACAGCTGACCTAGGTATCGCTATGGCAGAACCAACACTTGC